GGAGATTTTTTTTATTACTAAAAGATTTTAGAACATTATAATCCTTTTAGGGTCAGCATTTAGCAATGCTCTGTAAACCTTTTCTTCCTTTGTACGATTGACTATCCAATATGTGTCCCTTGCCCCCACTAGTGGAATGGTGCTCATGTTATTGCTTATGAGAGAGTCATTGTCCCTAATTGGTTTTGTCAAACTTGATAATTCAGCTATCCACAACTGTAAGACCAGGTGGTATTTTGGAGAACACCTCTTCTTTCTGGCAATAACCATTCCACTACTAATTGTAGCTAACCCATTGGCATTTCTTGTTCACTTCCCTTGTTCCTCCCATAATTCTCATACAAATTTGAAATATATGTATTGGAGTCCACATTTGGATGGAAATAAGAAAGCATTCTTTGATGTTTATGTAATTCTTCTGCTGTAGAACTGACTGCTTTATTTTCTATTTCTGCCCTAAAATTTCAGATCTGAAAACAATATTGTACTTAGTCTTTGAGGGTAGAAATAGCTTTGTTCAGTTAAACTTTCTGTGCACGGGGAATAGAGAGAAATGAATTGTTCCAGCCCTCAAGTTGTTCATAGTCCAGTGGGGAAGTCAGCCTTCTTCTAGACAAATATATGCAGATATCAGAGATATAGTCATAAAAGTCTGTACAGATTGTAAAGGGACCAAAAAAGGAATATGGTCAAATGTGTTTGGAGAGAGGCAAGGATGGCTTCATAGAGGAGGTGATGCTTGAAGAGAGTCTTAAAAATAAATAGACAAAGAAAGAGCATCCCAGGCAGAGAGTGAAATACTGTGATTCATTTAGGCAGCTTTAACTAGGTTGATGCATCTGGAACAAATGATGAAGCTGTTAGGATGTCAGGTGCCAAGTCATGTAAGGCCTTTTTTGAGTTTGGGCTTCTAGTTTCATATGCTGGAATGAGCTGAGTGGAACTCTGAACTTCATTCTAACCATGTAGAAAGCCTTCAGTACAGCTCTGCCAATGTGGCTCAGTGGTTGAGTGTCAATCCATGAACAAAAAGGTCATGGTTCCATTCCCAGTCAGGGCCCATGCCCGGGTTGTGGGCTCCATCCCCAGTAGGTGGTGTGCAAGAGGCAACCAATCAGTGATTCTCTCTTAGCATTGATATTTCTCTCCCTCTCCCTTCCTCTTTCTGAAATTGATAAATATATATATATATATATATATATTTTTTTTTTTTTTTTTTTAAAGTCTCTAATACTGAGGTGAATTTGAAAGCAAGAAGGAGAAATCCTCAGGTGCCAGGAAGAAAGAAGAAATCCAAACCCAGCCGAAATGGTTTGGCTCAGTGGTAGAGCATTGGCCTGTGGACTGAAAGGTCCCGGGTTCGATTCCAGTCAAGGGCATGTACCTTGGTTGCGGGCGCATCCCCGGTGGGGATGTGCAAGAGGCAGCTGGTCAACGTTTCTAGCTCTCTATCTCTCTCCTTTCCTCTCTGTAGAAAATCAATAAAATATATAAAAAAAAAAAAAATCCAAATCCAGAGCTGAAGTTGAATAGTTCTATTGAAACCAGATGTAATGCTTAGGGGCTAGGGTTTTAGGGTCAGTACAGAGATTGCACATAAATCCTCAGGTTAATAACCCCCATATGAAGCTGAAAGCCAAGACTACCATGTTTGATAAAAATGAACTAGAAAAATTTCATTAGTCTAAGGAAACAGCATAAAGATTGTGGTCTTCTCAGGGTTTGGGGTGAAAAAAGAGTTAATTATAATAATATAGAACTCCATACTTATTACTAGGCATGGGGATATACATCTATATTTACATTTATACACAAATTCACACATATATTTTATATAATAAAAGGCTAATATGCAAATTGACTGACCGGCAGAACAATTGGTTGCTATGATGTGCACTGACCACCAGGGGGCACACACTCAATGCAGGAGTTGCTCCCTGGTGGTCATTGCACTCCCACAGGGGGAGCGTCACTCAACCAGAAGCCAGACTCACAGCTGGTGAGCACAGTTGTGGTGGCGGGAGCCTCTCTCCCTCCTCCACGGCAGTGCTAAGAATGTCTGACTGCTGGTTTAGTAGGGAGTGGACCTAAGCCATCAGTTGGACATCCCCCAAGGACTCCCAGACTGCAAGAGGGTGCAGGGGCTGGGTTCTGAGAGACTCCCCCCCCCCCAAGTATGCAAATTTCATGCACTGGACCTCAAAAAAAAAATATATAGATAGATAGATACACATACATACATATTTATATATATAAACATATATATTTATATATACACACACACATACATACACACACAAACACACATACATACATGCATACATATATACGTAAAATCTAATATATATATATAAAATCACACTATAATCCTGAAAATTAATTAATTTTAAAATTAATCCTTTAAATAAATTATTTAAAATTTTTTAAAAAAATATATTTTATTGATTTTGTTACAGAGAGGAAGAGAGGGATAGAGAGGGATAGAGAGTTAGAAACATCAATGAGAGAGAATCATCGATCAGCTGCCTCTTGCACACCCACTACTGGGGACATGCCCACAACCAAGGTACATGCATGCCCTTTGATTGGAATCGAACCTGGGACCTGCAGGCCAACGCTCTATCCACTGAGCCAAACAGGTTTTGGCTATTTTAAAACTTTAAGGCATTTGTATATACTAGTAACAATAATGGGATACTCTCCAATACTATTAAAGTATGTTATCTGGCTTTATATGTATCTATATGAATAAATGAAAATATATTGAATGAAAAAGCAAGGTGTGGAATGATATGATATTTATACCTTTTTTGTCTTTATTTTTTAATATATTTTATTGATTTTTTACAGAGAGGAAGGGAGAGGGAGAGTTAGAAACATCGATGAAAGAGAAACATCAACCAGCTGTCTCCTGCACACCCCCTACTGGGGATGTGCCTGCAACCAAGGTGCATGCCCCTAACCTGGGACCCTTCATACCTTTTTATTGAGATTATCCCAGAGCACTAAAATCTAATTGGCATAACAATAGAAAGTAAGGCTTTTTTTTTTTTTTGCCTTTATCTCTCCTTTTCCTAGCTACAAACCTGGAAGGGTTAGAGACCAAAGCAAAGGGCAGATAGGGTAGGAGGAAGAACAAAGATGGGGAAGTAGAAGAGTCAGACATGTCCCCCTCCCACCACTGCCAGCTAGGTTGAAAGCAGACCCCAACCAGGGGAGGGAGCTGAGACTTTTTTGTTGTTGTTGCTTTTATATGTATAGTGTGTGTGTGTGTGTGTGTGTGTGTGTGTGTGTGTGTATATATATATAGAGAGAGAGAGAGAGAGAGAGAGAAATCATGAGTGTACCTCCTGACAGATTTTCACAAAGTGAACACACCTATGTCACCAGTATCCAGATCAAGAAACAGAACATCCGTCTTCGAACATCTCTACAATGAACTAAAGTCATTAATCACCAACTATTACTAACAGGAGCCAAAGATGTTGAAATGGAATATGGCTACGGTCTTGTGACAGACTACTGCTGTGTACCTACTTCTCCGCAGTTGGAGAGTCCGATTTTGGGAGGGGAGGGGGAAGTTATCATTGTATTTACACGCTACACAATTTGCTTAGTGTTTATTGTCATTATCTCTTTCTATTTGATGGGAGATCATGGCAAATACCAACGGTAGAAATTGAATTGTAAAAAATGCCCATTTTATGGTGACATATTATTAGAAATTTAAGTTAAAGCATTAAAAAAAATTTTTAAAAAAAAGAAAGAAAGAAAGAAAGAAAGAAACACAACATTACCAGAATGCTGGAGCCATCAATACCCTCTTCCATTCCTTAACCCTCCTCAGGGTAACAGCCATCGAGACAAAATTAAAAAAAAAAGTTTATTGATTTCATAGAGGAAGAGAGATGGAGCGAGATAGAACATCAATGATGAGAGAGTATCATCATCTGGCTGGCTGGCTGCCTCCTACACGCCTCCTACTGAGGATCAAGCCTGCAACCCAGGCATGTGCCTTGACTTAGAATTGAACTGTGACCTCCTGATTCATAAGTCAATGTTCAACTACTGAGCCACACCAGCTGGGCAAGGTTTTTTAATTATAAAAACAACTTCATTATTTTGTCTCTTTTTAAAAAAAATTCTTTTGTTGAAATAATTTCAAAACTACAGAAAGGTTGCAACATAACAAAGAACTTTCCTATCCCTTCAACCAGATTTCTTAATTGTTAAAATTTTATACTTAATGAAAGAATGGTAATGTTTTATTTATAAAAAATGGCAAAATGTTAACTTTTAAAAAATATTTTTTTTATTGATTTCAGAGAGGAAGGAAAAGGGAGAGATAGAAACATCAATGATGAGAGAGAATTATTGTCTGCCTCCTGCACGCCCCTTTCTGGGGATTGAGCCAACCCAGGCATTTGCCCTTGATCCAAACCAAACCTGGGATCCTCAGTCCACAGGCTGGCGCTCTATCCACTGAGCCAAAGCGGCTAGGGCTTAACTTTTTTATTATTAAATAGTGAATTACTCTACCTTTCTATGTGTTTGAAGTTTTAAAAAATTCTTCAAACAAGACCCATTTATTTCATCATCTAGGAAGCAGGAAGCTGTTGAAGTGTGCTTTTATTGTTGAAATAAATATATATGACTTCTGTTCTCTGTCCTCATCTATAAATTAAAACACGTAAGTAACCTATAGGGTTGATTCACCTCAGCATCGTTTTTCTTTTCTTCCCATCCTTATTGCTTCTCACTGCTAAGTGCCTAGTGGTGTCTGACATGGTAAGGTTAAAACTTGCACTTTTCCTAATAGATGTAACTCTCTTCCTGATTTGCAGTAAGCAGGATCTGCTTTTAAGCAATTACCCATCATTTGGGGCTTCAGGTCATAATCAATAATTCACATGTCAATAGGAGCCCCATTAGCTCAGGTGAAGGCAGATGTCTTTATAATAAAAATGTTCCATTTTCCAAATGACTTTTCTTTTTCCCAGAGAGTTGTGGTTGTAGAAGACATAAAAAGATGGAAAACTATGTTGGAGCTTCCTAATCAAACCAAAGAGAATCTAGTTGAAACATTACAAGAATTAAAGAAGAAAATACCCTCCAAGGAAGTGTTAAAATCAACAAGGATAGGTATGTTTCTTCTGACTGTTATGCAGAATGCTTATATTTTGTCTCTTTCCTTCTTTCTTCCCTCCCTCACGCATTAAATTACCTGTCATCTCAGTGCTTTTCAAACTATCCATGATAAGGGACCATTGTTTTAAAAAGTTTCCATTGGTGGCAGACCAGTACTTTCATTAATGTATGATAAAAGTTACCAGAAAAATAAAATTAAGATATGCAAAATACAAGCCACATTTTTTAAAATTATTAAACAGATGTAGAATTACTCTTTAAATTGCTATAAAATTTTCTAAATGCTTCAGTTTTGAGTTTGTTGTCTGGACTGGTAACGCAGTGATCTATGGGTGACATTTTGAGTGTGTTTGATGCTGGGGGTGCAAAAATGAATAAGGCATGCTTCATGATCTCTAAAAATTTAGGTTTTGCTGGAGAAATAAGCATGTAGACAAATGTGAGCAGTAAGAAATTATAGCTTATAAATAAAAACAATAGAAATAATACTTGTTATACATAAATACTTGTTATGTATAAATACTGATTTATACAAGGTATAGGCTGGCATAAAGAACAGAGTACATAGTCATTTACACCCGGGGAATTAGAAAAGGCTTTAGAAAAGAAGTGATATTTCAGTTCAATCTTGAAAGAGATTTGGCTTTTCTGTCTTGAGTAGAAATAACTTGGAAGGCCTGGTTTGTAAAAACAAAATGATAGCATCCTTTGCTACTACATCATTTGTTATGGCATTAGAGATATTTAAAAGATAAGTCGGGGACCACGTTGAATTGCCATTTTAATATAGTACACAACTGTGAATAATCTGCGAGGGAGGACCAACATGTGTTCCTCAAGCTGCTCCTACCTCCCCAGGGACCCAGGGCAGCCATTCACAGCTGCTGCTCTTGCCCTCACTCCTGCAGCCATTGCCTCGTCTGCCTCCCCTTGACCTCTTGTTCATGAGGCAGGAGAGAGAGCAGCTTCACACTGGCGCTAACAGCTGGCAGGAGCTGTGTGAAATCCCCAGAGAGCCCCCCAAGAGTCTTGAGAGTTGCACCCCTGTAATATAAACCAGAATCTGAGAAAATTAGATGCTTAAAGAACATAAGACCCTATCATTATAGCCAGGAAATGCTCCCATCTGCTGGTGGATTTTCTCTTTACAGGTTGTGGTCACTAGAGGGCAATAAGACCATTCATATGAGCAGGTAAGATATTTCCACCAGTAGAGGGTCCTAGTGATTAATATTTTATGACCTACATATATTTACATATATGTATATATGTTCATATTTAGGCACAGGCCACAGTTAACCATTTATGATCAGAGCTTAAATATCAACATAATAGGCTGGAACTGTCCTACAAATATAGAACATAAGTTTTTTAAAAATCCTTTCTCTCTCTTCTTTGAGTAAATTGTGAGTATGCTTTCAAGAATGGGTGTGTCTGATCAGAGATTTCAATTCGAAGATCTTAATAAAACCACACAAGGGGCTTGACTTGAGAGAAGCTGGAAACCAAGTTGTTGTGTTTTTTTTAAAATATATTTTTTTAATTGATATTTTACAGAGAGGAAGGGAGATAGAGAGCTAGAAACGTTGATGAGAGAGAAATATCGACCAGCTGCCTCTTGCACACCCCCTACCAGGGATGTTCCCGCAACCAAGGTACATGCCCTTGACTGGAATCGAACCCAGGACCTTTCAGTCCGCAGACCGACGCTCTACCACTGAGCCAAACTGGTTTCGGCCCATCCAAGTTTTGAGTCTTGACCCTACCCAAGCCTTCCCTAAACCTGAGGTTGAATATAATGTAGGGGTTTCTTGATTTTTTTTGTAGTTATAACAGTTGCTAAGCTGAAGATTCATTTGCATCATTGCCTGAGCATATTTACATTCTTCTACCTTTAGCCTCCTGCCTGTCTCTATCCTGTGGGCTATAAGAGACCAACATTTACTTAGTGCTTTCTTTCTTTTTTTTAACTTATTGATTTTTTACAGAGAGGAAGGGAGAGAAATAGAGAGCTAGAAATATTGATGAGAGAGAAACATCAGCCAGCTGCCTCTTGCACACCACCTACTGGGGATGTGCCCTCAACCAATGTACATGCCCTTGACCGGAATCGAACCTGGGACCTTTCAGTCCATAGACCGACGCTCTACCACTGAGCCAAACTGGCTTCGGCTTACTGAGTGCTTTCAATTTCTACGTCCTTTAGGATTTTATTCCACTGTGTCTCTTGATTCGAACCACACCTCTCCATCCCCTCGACTATTACCCCACCCTAATTTCCCAACCAGATGTTTTAATTGCCTCTAGGTTTGCTTTTCTCCAATACTTTTCCACATGGCAGCCAGATATTTTTTTTTTCTAAAATGCAAATATGACTATGTCACTCCTCCATTCAAAATCTTCCATTAATAATCACTTACTATCTTTAGCTTCATAATGAACAAAAGCTATCCTTTCACTGCAGTAAAACAAGATTCTAGGTTAAAAAAAAAAAAAAAAAAAAAAAAAAACTCATTCCCTCTTGCAAAAACGTAAGCAGTGGTGAAAGGGGTAGGCTCAGGGAGTGGGAGGGCTAAACTACTGATGTAAATAGCAATGCTGCTGAAATACTTACTTTTAGGCCAGTAGTGAAGTGGGATAGCTAATTCTGGGACTCTCAACTAAGCTGGGATTCTTGAAAAGTGTGCTAAAGCATTCCAGGTCAGAAGTGACCCTTCATTATTGACAGAAACAAAAAAAGAAGGAAGCTAATTCCCTCTAGAGCAGCGGTCACCAACCTTTTGGCCCTTACATACCACCCAGCGGACCACCGGTTGGCAGCCACTGCTCGACTGCTCGGCGCTGTCAGCGGGTGCGAATGGCAGCTGCTGGCCCCGATCACCCCTGAGGGTTTCTCTACCCCCCCTGCTCTGTGCCGTCAGCTGGTGCAAGTAGGACTGGTGCTGTCACTGCATTCGAGTGGCGGTGGCAGGAGAGGAGCTGCAGGCGGACAGGGGAATGAGGTCTATGGAGGGAAGGGCCAAGCGGGGGGGGGGGGGGGGGGGGCAAGGGGAAAGCGCGGAGGATGGGCCAAGACCCATCCTTGTTCCCACTGCAGCCTCATGGCCCACAGTTCCTTTCAAGGTGCATGAATTTGTGCACTGGGCCCCTAGTGGGGATATATAAGCTTGCCCAGGGAGTGTATTTAAGAAAAACATAGAGCTAAATCCAAAATCCTGAAGCACACCAGTATTTAAGAGACTTACAGAAGGAGACCAAGAAGGTGTGACAAGGGAAATGGGAGCGAATGCTGTCATGAAACGGGAAGTTAGATTTTGGTAAGGTCAAAGGCAGGGTTTGGGGCAGAAAGTTGAGGAATGAGAGGAGGTAAGAAGGTGAAACTGAAAATAAACAACTCTTTGAAGAAGTTGCATATTGAAAGGGAAAAGAGAGATGGAAATATCAGAAAGGGAATGTGGAGTTGAAGAAAGTTGTCATTTTTTAAATAGAAGAGAGTCTAACCTGTTAGTTGACAGATTTGTAGAGCGACCTTATCTGGGAGAATGGACTGGATTTACTAAGGATTGACTGGTGATGAAGAGACCAAGATGTCTCTCTTACCATCTCTGCTGGTTCTTCCTGACTTCAGAGAGTCTCAGATCTTTTCCTTTAGTTGTCTTTGCCATTTCTTACAAACACCTTGTTTTTGTTCTTCCCTTTATAGACAGATTCCTTTAAAAATGATTCATAATCTCAACTCCCATTTCAGTTTCTCCCATTCCTTCTTCATTCAACCCTTTCCATGCTGACTTCTCTCACAACCACTATTAATCTCTCTCAAGACATGAGTGAGCCGAAACTGGTTTTGCTCAGTGGATCGAGTGTCGGCCTGTGGACTAAAGGGTCCCAGGTTCGATTCCGGTCAAGGGCATGTACCTTGTTTGTGGGCACATACCCAGTAGGAGGTGTGCAGGAGGCAGCTGATCAATGTTTCTCTCTGATCAATGTTTCTACTCTCTATTCCTCTCCCTTCCTCTCTATCCCTCTCCGTTTCTCTCTGTAAAAAAAATCAATAAAAAATATATGAAGAAAAAAGACACGAGTGATTTCATTCTGTCCAAGTCCAATAGTCTTGTCTCATTTCTCATCTTCCCAGCACTATGACTTTTAGACCATTGATGGATCTTTTTTTCTGTCAACATAAATGATACTGAATATGTTGCCAATTCTTTATTTTTTTAAATATTTATTTCATATCCCTGAGTTTGTAATTACTTATTTATTTATTTTGTTATTTACTAAACAGGAACCAAGGCAGCAGGACCGTGTAACACATTTTATTTAGTGATGCATTTCAAGCATTAGTGTGACATATAGCAAGAGCTTAAGATATATTCATCAAATGAATGAAAATGACAAGGTCAAATAAGATTTTCTCTATGACTTTTTCTATTCCTGTTTTTTGCCGTCTCTCTTTCCTCAGTCCTTGTTCCCTGTTCCCTATCAGGGGTGCTTTTCCATAAAACTCCGACCTCAGTCTTGCTGCTGCTTTAAAGCGTAACTGAGGCCTAAATTCAAACAGCTCTTGGATATGTATCTCCCATCCTGGTCCATTTTTTAATATTAGATATTTAGACATGTTCAAATTTATATTCCTACCATTTTTTAAAAATCTTACTAATTAAATAGGTTAAAATAGCATCTTGTTTTCATTTGCTGTAGAGAATGAGTTGTATTTATTGACACTTTGTCTTTTTTGGTGAATTGTTTATGTTCTTTGTCCATTTACTGTTGAGATCTTATATTTTTCTATTTCTGAACTTTGTAAATGTCAAAGTCATAATACTTTTAAATCCATTTAGCTACCTAAATTTTTTTAAACATGTTTATTGATTTCAGAGAGCATGGGAGCATGGAGGAGAGAGATAGAAACATCAATGATGAGAGAGAATCACTGATTGGCTGCCTCCTGTATGCCCCACATTGGGGATCAAGCCTGCAACGTGGACATGTAC